TCAGCTGTCTTGGCGCCCCGGGGGCCTGGTGCCCCCATTTTAGGGGAAGGAGCCACCACTCCCGCCCCTCCACATCCCGGACCCCTCCTCGCTGAAAAGCCCCGGTGGTGCCCGCGTCCCCGCGCGCGCCCTGGGCGAGACGAGGTGCCGGGCGGGAGCCCGGGCCGGGCTGCCTCCTCTTCCCTCCGTCCCCGCGCCCTTTGCTTCCGTTCTGGCGCACCGGCGTGCCCGCCCAGCCACTTGCTGGTGGTCAGTCTGCACCCCGCCGCCCGAGCCCTGCTTTGGCTGGACTGCTTGTGGAGCAGCCTGCGGCCCGCACGCAGACACCCCACAACCAGGTTAAAACCTGGATCGCAGCAAGCGCAGCACACGTCTTGATTGAAGTCGGCTACCTTATAGAACAGGCTCCGGCCTCTTTTACAACAAGGAGAATTGGGTCTCTTAGGTGGGAATTCGTTCACTAAGCAGGATGCAGCATCTTCCACTCTTGTAGGCACTAGGGGATAGATACAACGATGAACAAAGTAGGTTTGCCACTGGTCTGGGAATTTGTGGGTAGGCTAGTAAAGCTTTTTTTTTTTTAATCTATGGGCAGCCTTTGTTTTCTTAAGTGGGTTTGCCCATTAATTTTTCATTGCCCATGCTTTACCGCGTTGTTTAGATTTCTGAATAAATGTTGAAAGTACACAGCGCCAGACATACGCCCCATTCAAGTTTTTACACGTGAATTCATGTGGACGATGGGTTTTATTTATCATGAGCATTTTTCTAGTTTACAACAATCGGCTACCCCACCAAAAACAACAACAAAATATTTGGCCCTGTGCCAGTAAAGTCTGTCCTGCGGAGCTCTATGGCACAGAAGAGAGTGGAGGCCCTCGTTTGTGACCCAGCACAACTGATTGCTGCGCTCATCCCAGGGCTTCAGCTAGTGCAAGCCCTGGACTGAAAGTCTGTAGCCTCCCAAAGGAGCCCTGGTGGCGGAGTGTGTTAAGAGTTCAAAGTCAAGTTCTAATGAGGCTTTCTACTCTTGTAAAGATTCATCTCGGAAATCTACAGGGACAGTAATGGATTAATACTTCCCTGGGGTGATGGCAAGGCAAGTGGGTGGGGTCTTAGTGTTCAAACATGAATGGTAGTGATGATCGCATAGCACTTTTCATATGTATGGACTATTAAACCATAGGCTATATGAATCGTATGTCAATAAAACTGAAAAGGAAGGTTAATCTGGGCAACCCTGCCCTAGAGGATTGTGATGAGTCGGAATTGAGTGGGCAGAGGCCTGCCTTCAGGGTATCTTTTCTCACTGCCACCACACTGATTTCGACTCACAGGAAACCACTAGCCACTCCTTGGGAGAAAGACAAAGCTTTCTGCTCTTATAAAGAGTTAGCCGTCTTGGAAACCCTGAGAGGCAGTTCTACTCTGTCCTGTAGGGTCACTGAGTTTGGCTACTAGTGCATCGTATTTATCAAAGTCCAGGACATTCTCTGGAAACTGTGTTGGTTCTGACACGGGTTCTCTTCTGTAACTCCCCCACGAAGTTCCTATGGGCGTGCACTCTTTCCTGCCTTTACAGCCCACCTCAGTGCATTGGGAGGGTCCTAGCCTTTGCATAAGGTTACGGTGCTCTGGTAGTAATTTATCCTTTCAAGATAGCTTTCTTTTCATTTTCTCTCTTCCCCGGGTCAGAGTGAAGTAGCCATGCAGGCATTTCTCAAAGGTGCATCTATTAGTAAACTACCGCCGACCAAGGACCGAGCAGTTGCTGCCACTGCAGGAAGCAGTGGAGAGAACAAGAAAGCCAAGCCTGTACCATGGGTAGAAAAATAGTAAGTCCACTTGTGTTTTTATCGAAACAGTTAACAAATGACTTCTCTAGCCAGTTTGACGGAATCTGAATTTAATTCCACAGAAACCACCAAGCGCCGTCAAGTTTGGATCCCTTGGTTTACATAAGGAGGGCAGGGTTTGCCTTGCTCAGATAGTGTCTTTGAAAATCACCACTTGTTTAAATCATAGAGATTGGAACAGAAAGATACCCTAAAGTGCTCTAGTTTCATCCCCCCATTTTTTCGATGAACCAAGGTTTTCTCCACACTAAGCACAGTTTTTGAGGGTTGGCAGCAGCTAGAAGAAAACAAAATTTCTATAAACTTCTGTTGAGGAGTTTACTTCAGTACAAATCATCTGTTTTCCATTTCATTACGATTACCTAAAAGCCTATTGCCATCGAGTTGATTCCAACTCATAGTGACGCTACAGGACAAAGTAGAACTCTCCCCTTAACCCCAACACACACATACACACACAGGACAAAGTAGAACTCTTCCCCTTAACCCCAACACACACACACACACACACACACCCCACTCCACCCCTTAGGCTTCCCAGGATCGCCCACCTTCTTGTTAGCAGTCAAGCATGTACCCACTACACCACCAGATAAAGCAGCTGTAACCACGGGATGGGGCCTGGTGGCACTTTACCAAGTTTTTGCAGGTGACTTATAGGCCAAATAAAGGCCACATATGTTTTGTTTGACCCCAACAAGGCTTGGGAAAGAAACAAGGAGAATTAACATATAAATCAAGTTTTTCCGCCTCTCAAGTCATGTGTTCCTCAGTTGGCCATAACGCCATCATTTTCTCTTGTCGTACATTCAGTCTTCACTCTCAGTCTCTACCTGATGCCAGCAGATATATGAGAATGAGCTGCTGTCTATATGATATACTGGTTTCCCCATAAAACATCCTCTGGCATAATTCCTGATGATAATGGGCCTGATTCATGAGAAAAGCAAAGCTTTAGATGAGTTAATAGAGCAGCGCCCAATCTTAGGGCTGGGAGTGTGGCTGAGCCACTAAAAGCACTAGTTGACGACGGGAGACTAAAATTGTATAATGTGATTGTGATGCCTCAGCCGGGCCCCTCCGTCAGTTGATGAAGTGAACGCGCCCCGTATCTGTGTGCTCAGTCGGGGTGGGAGATACCGGGGCTAGCAATGTCAGAGCCCCTAACCTGACGTCCCTGAAGGGGACTCTTCTAAGCTCAGGTTCATGGTTCTGTCAGAGTAAACTACTTTCTAGACAAGTATCCATTCGGACGTTTTAACCCTTGTAGCAAAGTGAAATCCTTTTGGATAAGTTTTGTAAACAACAGGTGTAGAAAATACATGTGGTAGTGAAAAATTCTTCACTCCTTCCGTGTATTTGTATAAGATAAATTCAAATGGGGTTTCTCAAATACTTTATATTATGAAACAATTTCTCTTTTCATTTTGATATAAGAATCTTCATTGCTATTTTAGCCGAAGCATTACTTAGAAACTTTTCTGTGACTACTGTAAAATACTAAAGAAACCTTTTCCCCTTCCCAGCCGGCCAAAATGTGTGGATGAAGTTGCTTTCCAGGAAGAGGTAGTTGCAGTGCTGAAAAAGTCTTTAGAAGGAGCCGATGTGAGTTGAAAATTGCTTTTAATGCCATTAGGAGCTTAAGGCTTCTTAACCCCCTGCTTTAAAATCCTCCTGCCCCAATTAAATACCATGCTAAAGAGACCGTAGTCCCTTGGTTTGTACAATGCTAGTTAGGTAAACGTGTTTACTGGTTGAGCATCTCCTGGTCACTCCTGTGTGGCATGTAATACGCTCCAACCTACCTACCCGCCAGCTGCCATTGAGTGGGTTCTCCCTCACGTAGCTCCCTGTGTGACAGTGTAGACCACGCCATAGGGTTTTCTTGGCTGGGACGAAGACACAGATCACTGAGCCTGGGCCCTCTGGGTGGGTTTGAACCATCAACCTTTAGGGTAAAATTGCCCTTTCTTTACTGATTTAGGCTGAACCACAAGATAAGAAAACTCTAAACATGTAACTGTATATAGACCATTGCGTCTCCTTCCCTGGCTAGGGTGGCATGTATTTTGTATTTTAGATTCGTATTCAGAGACAAGATAAGCCCTTAGTGAAGAAGGAGCACTTTAAACTTGTACTGGATGAAATCCCAAAAGTGTCTCAAGGGCTCCGCCAAGAGGGGGGAAGTTGCAGATGCAAGCAAGATGTAACTGGGGTCACTCCCAGGACTTGCTGCCTTCCCTTAATCCTGGCTGCTCTGAACCGGAAGTGTGTGTGTGTGGCTGCCATCAGAACTCTTCCTGGCAGAGCGGTGCTGCAGTCCGCATTCTTGACGGTCCATCTGCCACCCGGTGCAAGCCTTTTTCTTTACTGCCGCTTGCTCCAATTTGAGATGTATACCTTTCACCTTTTAATTTTACCACTTTAATTAGTTATGCTTTCACAGATGACAAGATGCATTTTAATTGTTAGGTGTTTCCAACTATAGGCAAATGTGGGATTATGACCCACATCTTTTTTTTTTTTTTTTTTTAATTAATCAATTTATTGGGGCTCATACAATTTATCACAATACATAGATCAATTGTGTAAAGCACATCTATACATTTGTTGCCCTCATCATTCCCAAAATTCTCTTGCCTCCTGGGTTTATGACCCACATCTTGATGTTATGCCAGCTAATTTATGAGCCTAGATTAAGAATTTCATCTGTAACTCTTTTTTTCATCTGTAACTTCTTGTTTATTATTTTATATTCCTTTTCAAAGTTATGTAAAACTTTAAGAAAGTTTTTTTCTTAATTTAACTCCAAAGAGCAAAGGAACATAATTATTCCCTTCATTTTCTTTTAATGGTTTTAAAGTACAAGTAGTCTGTCCCTGACCATTGGGGTGCCATTTCTGTGACCGTCAAAAATGAATTCTGACATGCATCAAATAGCTTTTTCCCTTAATTTTCATGATTACTTTTTATTATCAATATCTTTATAAACCCAATCTTTCAAGGGAGTGAACATCTGAGAGCAAATTATATTCTGTAACATTATATGTAGTATTTATTAACAATAATAAAATGCACCACCACCCCCAAAACTAGATAATCTTACATGTGATTTGTCATAACTTCAATATATCATAGTTCAGAGACTACCTGTAGAACTATAGTAGGATTTTTTTCTTCCCAGTAATCAATTTTAAGAACTGATACTAACATATAGATCTAGAATGCACTAATCAATGATATAGTGCAAGGTTCAATAATTTTGTCATTTTAAAGAAATTATTTAAAATATTGTATATAGTTGTTACCTGAAGGAATCGTTACAAATGCTGAGGCATGCACATATCAAAATAATAGTTATACCTTTAAAAACTAAGAGATCTACCAGTTTTGTTTTATGTTTTTAAGTAATGAATCGCTTAGTTAGTATGTTAAGCTGTGCGTTAGCAATATAACAGTGACAATCTTCTGATAAACCTTTTGTCTATATGTCAGCTTATTTATTTACAAATAATTGAGTCTTACACGAGATATTGAAAATACAGATATGTACAGAACAGATAAGGGTTTTGGTCTTTATAAGTTTGAAATCTGTCAAGGCAGACAGACATTTCACAAGTTAACCCTGTGGGTAAGTGAGTAATCTGTGCACATTGTAACAAGTACAGCAAAACCGCTTTCTCCTCTAACCCAAGCAGTCCTTCAGACAGGGTACAGATGCAACATCTCACACAACACCTGGCGCACGATCCTGCTGAGTCCACTTTTAGCTTCTTTATTTTGAACTTGGTGGTTTCTAGAGCAGGTCATAGTTTCACATTCAACAATGTATACCTGTTCTGATTCAGCTTGTGCATTGCAAGCACCTCGTTGGCTTCATTTAGTTAAAATACTTCTGTTCTCGGGAAAGGCTGATAGCCTATTTTTTTTTTCCCAGCCCTTTTTACTCCTTTTTCTCTCGGTGTTGGTCAAATTCACTTGTGTCTGTTTCCACTGCCATCTTTATGAAATGCAAACTCCCACCCAACTCCTGAACAAGGTCAGGAATAAGAACTAACAAAATCTTGGTCTTCACATCACAAATACTAAGACATCTTTATTTCCAGCTTGAAATGTTCTGCCTATGTAGATTAGATAAAGAGTAATATACTTGTACATATTGATGCCATTGACCAGCTAAGAAAGGCATTTGGGAGAAATGAATAGCCTGAAGTGGGGGTGAGGGCAGGGTGGGAGCAGGATTTAGAACTGTTAATAGCATGATACCAATGAAAGGAAGAAATCGATTTCCCTCGGTATTAGGGGAGTCTCCGATCTGTTCCTCAGACCTTTTAAATCATGATTTCCATCTGTTTGCGCCTTAATACAATTTGTAAAAATAAAAATTAATTCTTGCAGCTCCCTAATCTCCTGTTCTACGGGCCGCCTGGGACTGGGAAAACATCCACTATCCTGGCCGCCGCTCGGGAACTCTTTGGGTAAGCTCAACTCTTTCTTTTTTCTCATTGTTCTTTTATTTTTAATATTTGACACCAAAAATCACAGTACTACTTCTTTCCCTAGACATTTGCATTTGATTTTTGTGTAGAGTTGGATTTCTTTTTTTGTTTGTTTCTGAACAATTTACTAATCAACTGGGCCTTTCCTTTCTCTCCCTGCCTGCCTGCCGCCCCACATTCTTGCCTACATCTTTGTACGTCTCATTGTTCGTTTACTCCCCACTCCCCCACCCCTCCAGCCTGGCATTATGGGGGTAATTAGGGATCGTAGTAGGTTACCACAGGTCAGGATCAGTAAACAGTAAGGATACAATCTTGGTCCACAGCAACACCTCTGCTCTGCCAGCAGACAAGTATCTCTGGTCACCAGCCTCAGCCATGCGGTCCCGTGGCCTCTGCGTCAGTAGGCCAGGACGCCAGCCCACCTGTCACTGTCTCACAGTCCCATAGTCTGGGCGCCGCTCCTCTTGCTCTGTGTCCCATTGTCTCCGTGCCACAGTCTCAGGTGCCTCTGTTCTCGGCTTCTGCCACTTCAGACTGATCTGGAACGTGCTCTTCCAACGGTCCTGGGCTTGTGTCTTCAGTTTCTTTATTTAGATATGCAATATAAGGAGCCTTGTAATGGTCTTTGTTTGTGCTTTTCCCTCTCTTTTTTCTTCCCTCGTTTTCTGTATATTCAGATTTTGGAGCCCAGAGGACCCAGCCAACCCTGTCATGTAGATCATATTTCTATTCTCATCTGTGTGATGGTTTGATAGAATTTCCTGGATCTGAGGCTGCCAATCCCCTTACCCCTTCAGTAAGTTCCCTCTGCTCGGGCCTCCTGAGGTCCTGCATCGGAGGTGGCCCTGCCTCTGGGGTGGCCCCCTGAGCCCCTGGCCCTCATTTCCAAGTGGAAGCAGAGTGGGTAGCTGTTGAGTGGGTTGGATTCCATTACAGCAGTAAATATTTCTGCAGTCTACCTTTGGAGTTTCTTCTTCGATTTACTCTTGCCTTAGCCATCCATTCTAGAGAGCAGCCCTTACACAGAATTTTAAAATATACAAGGGGGCTTCAAAAATAAGCTTGTGGAGAAATACAATGGGAAGACAATGGAATATTTCCACAGACTTTCTGAAATCCCCTCATATAACAACCCAAGTTTGAGATCTGAAGAATGTGCGAGATAGCAAGAGCTCTCTTGAATTTATCCAGAATTTGGGGGCATATGGCCCACAGAGGGGTCATCTGAAGTAAGCCAGCAAATAGGTAAGATTTGTTCTGCTGAAATGTAAGCGAGGACAAAGCAGAAAGCTGCTACGATGAGCCTAATCGCAGCCCCCTCTTGTCTGAAAGTTCCTTTTACACGCCTCCAGCTTTACAGAAGACCTGCCTTACTGGCTGCTTTCCCCAAGGGAAGGGACCCCGGGGGAGGGTTGGCTTGGTAGCGTGCTGCTATGGAGGCGGCACGCACCCCTGGAGCTGTGATGGGACGTCACCAGGCTCCCTGAGTAACTGCACGCCGTATCTCAGCCTCAAGCCACCATCGCTTCGAACTGTGTTAGGGAACATGACATGTCAGTTTACATTTTGTGGTGGTTCAGCGAATCAAGCATTGAACTGCTAACCACAGGTCAGTAGTTCAAACCCATTGCCAGTGGTAGGCCAAACAAGCTGGAGAACCCATGATTTACAGCCTTGGAAATCCTGAGAGGGCTTCAGCTCTGCCCTGGAGGGTTGCTAAGAGTTGAAGTCGACTGGAATTGGGTTTGGTGTTTGTTGTTTATTAGGTTATTTTTGAGTCGGTGAATATGCCCTCAAAACCTACCTTATAAACAAACGGTAATTGCTTCTCTGCTTTACGCCGGTTCAGCTTGCGAAACCATGAGGAGTGCTCTGCTCTCAGATGGCAGAGGCAACGTGTATCTGTAGAAGAACAACTAGAGAGTTTTCAAAGCTGGTTTGGCAAAGTGTGCTAGTCATTCTTAACTTTCTTTTGATTTCTGAGATTTTTCTACACGGAGCATATGTTACTTTTAAATGACTAAAAACAAAACTTTAAAACAATTGATTGAGCTTAGTAATTTTCCTTGCACACGCTGCCTTATGGAAATCAAAATGTGCTATATTGCAGCATTATTTAAAATTGTAGTGTACTTAAAAACAGATTGTTTGACAATAGAAGGTTGTGAGGTAAAGTAAGTAAACCTAGGATGGAATGTCATTCAACTATGGAAATGGCATTTACAATGATTTTGATGACATGATAGGATGCATACAATAAGTACTGCATGGAAAGAGGAAATTACCACCCTGTGATGGTGGCTGTCTTTCCAAAAAGCAAATAGAAAAAAAGGCTGAAATTGTCAGCACTGTCACTTTATATTTTGTACATGGTAGATTTTGTTTTAGTTGTGGTGGATTTTAAATTATGCAAGTGTTAACCTGTAGTTGAGCCTCTGTCTTGTCATATGTGTTTCATTTTGGTACAGGCCTGAACTTTTCCGATTGCGAGTTCTCGAGTTAAATGCATCTGATGAGCGTGGAATACAAGTGGTTCGCGAGAAAGTCAAGCACTTTGCTCAGTTAACTGTGTCAGGAAGTCGCCCAGAGTAAGCCAGCGTCTCCTTTTCTCGGTGGCATGTCACTGTGCTTGTTTTCAAATAAGTTGGTGCCCAATTCCTGACTCCTCTTGTATGTTGTTAGATCATATTCTTTTCTATATCCTGTAAACTTAGGAATGACTTTGTATGATATTTTTAATAAGATTTAAGTTGCATGACTCACAAGATTTTCTGACATTTTATGTGTTAAGAATATTTAATTGTTTGAGTTGCTCATTATGAAAATCCTGACTTTTCTACAGTTGAATTGGAAAAGAGAAAATGCCTTTCCTTTCCTGTCAGATAATTCAGGCTTCAGGGTGTTCCTCGTCGTGAGGGTGACAATATACATTCTTATTCAAACTGGAACTTTAGAAGGCAATGCTATTAATAATTAAAGTAGAACTACCCTGCTGCAAAACAGTGGTGCGCTTAAGTTCTTAGGTGGCAAGTGTTCTAAAATGCAATGTGTAGACCCTAGAGAGATTATATTTAAAATTCATTATCAGAACACACTTCAGAGTTGGTGGGAAGTAACTTGTGATACCTACCTTGTAGCGTGGTGGTTATGTGTTGGGCTGCTAACCCCTAGGTTGACCGTTCGAAACCACCACTCTTCGGGAGAGAGAAAAGACTTCTACTTCCATAAAGAGTCACAGTTCGGCCTTGCCCGGCCGGTAGGGTTCCTATAGGTCAGAATTGACTCAGTCGATGGCAGTGAGTTTGAGTTTTGTTGTATTTTTACCTTGAATCAAAAGGAGCCCTGGTGCATAGTGGGTTATGCATTGGACACTGCTAACTGCAAGGTCAGCAGGGAAACCACCCTGAGAGAGGCGGAGGCCTTCTGCTCCTGCAAAGCGTTACTGTCTCAGGAACCCACAGGACTAGTTCCGCTCCGTCCTATATGGTCACTGTGAGTTGCAATCGATTCAATAGCAGTGAAGTGCTTTTTGGTTTGTTTTTGACCATAAATCAACAGGTAGTCACAAAAGAGTCAATATGCGGAAGAGAAGAGTAGATGTGTGGGTGGTTTGGGCTGCGGAATTGAAGTGAGGAATCCTCTGGGCATAGGATTTCTTCCTGGAGTCGTGATCTAAGAGCATGAACAGTGGTGATACAAACCCACTGAGCTTCAAGTGGCGGAATTATATGGTTTGTGAATTATCCCCCGATAAAGCTGTTTAACAACAAACGTGGTCCACGTACTGATGTTCAGCTCTTATGTGTTTGTCTAAATCAGCGGGAAACCATGCCCTCCGTTTAAAATTGTGATTCTGGATGAAGCCGATTCCATGACCTCAGCTGCTCAGGCAGCTTTAAGACGAACCATGGAGAAAGAATCTAAGACCACCCGTTTCTGCCTCATCTGTAACTATGTCAGTCGGTATGTACATGGCCCTGAAGATAGTAATTTTGATAACCCCAATTAGGATGGGAACAAATTTATAGAAGTTTTCTAGGCAACCTTTTTTTAAAAAAAAAAAAATAAGAACGAGTTCTTTTGGGAAAGTCATTTGGACCCAGACCCTTACTTGCTTTTTCCAACCTTATGTTTTGCAGAATAATTGAACCCCTAACTTCTAGATGTTCTAAATTCCGTTTCAAACCTCTGTCAGATAAAACTCAACAGCAGCGATTACTAGACATTGCTGAGAAGGAAAACGTCAAAATCAGCAATGAGGTACTATTAGTGTAATTACTAAACCCTTTGACAAGAATGGAAAGGGATCTTAAGCTACAGGAAAGCAGTGGTCGGAATGTCTTGCACTTAAAAGATGTTGCCTTTTAAGTTGGGCTGTTTAATGCTACCTTATCTGTATTGCAAAGGCCAGTGTCACACATGAAGTGTGATTCTCCAACACGTCTCTGCATAATGACAAGATTCTAGCCTACTGAGAACCCACCTCAAGAATTAACTTGGTCTTATGAAATTCTGGCCCCCTGGTCTATCAAAATAACTTCCTCTTTCTTAAGGGAATAAATTACCTTGTCAAAGTGTCAGAAGGAGACTTAAGGAAAGCTATTACGTATCTTCAGAGTGCCACTCGACTAACCGGTGGAAAGGAGGTCACGGAGAAAGTGATCACAGACATTGCTGGGGTAAGAGCACTTTTTGTTGTTTCTAATTGGCACTGGATGCTTACTATGTGCCAAGCACTGCACTAGGTAAATAAACCTAGGAATATGTTCAAGTCAGGAAGAGCAGTCTAATACGCTAACTACTGAGCTTTTCAGCGTGCCAAGCATGTTCAATAGATCATTCAGAAAAGCTACATGCTTCCATTTGCACATACAAGCAGTAATGGTGTTTAAGCACACGTACACGTTAAGTACGTTTTGTCAAGGGATCATGTATAAAACAGTACTTATCTTTCAAGCACTACACCCCTAATACTGTCATTTTTAGTTCTGAAGGTATCTTCAGGTCATTCCATTTTATGCATCTTGTGTGGGGACTAGAGAGACGCTGGTTGTACATCAGAATTTAGGTTCATAAACTGTAGTTTAGCATTTTTAAGCAAAGTTGAAGAGCTTTCTTTACAAGAGCCTGATGGCACAGTGGGTTATGCTTTGGGCTGTTAACCAAAGTGAGCAGAAGTAAACCGTCTCTGAAACCCCCCCAGGGGCAGTTCTAACTCAGAACCTGCTGGAAGGCAGAGTTTAGTCACTTCCACTTCTCATCACAATGCTTGTGCACCAACTACTGCACTTAGGCAAATAGTGTAGAGGTGGTGATTCTAGAATTGGTCCTGCTCACCAATGATAAATCATGTAGCGTTACTTTTCAGGTAATACCGGCGGAGACAATTGATGGAGTGTACACCGCGTGTCAGAGTGGCTCCTTTGACAAGTTAGAAGCTGCTGTTAAGGTAAAGCCTTCTCAACTACCGGAAACTTGGGGCAATTGAGCAAACATACTGATGATATAAAACGTGTTTTATGTAGGAACTGATAGATGAGGGACATGCAGCAACTCAGTTGGTCAATCAATTCCATGACACCATCGTTGAAGACAGCCTTTCTGATAAACAGAAGTCTATTATTACAGAAAAGCTTGCAGTAAGTAGGTACCTTTAATGTCTGACTACATAGCTGAGGGTAATCTTTACTTGCTAACAGTCTCCTCTGTTACAGGAAGTGGATCAGTGTTTAGCCAATGGTGCTGATGAACACCTGCAGCTGATCAGCCTCTGTGCCACTGTGATGCAGCAGCTAACTCAGAATTGTTAAGCTGAATTTTAATTCTGCTTGACTGTACTTGTAAATATTGCATTTTGGAAATAAAAAGTAAACCAACTTTAAAGTGAATATACAATTTATTTAACATTCAAACTTCATTAAGACATGTGCAATATGGCAATTTTACTGGGTTTTCTTCAACCCTACTAGGATATGATCGCTTACTGGGGTATAGCCACAGGGTCCAGTTCACACTTAACACTAATTAAATACTTTATGGAATAAATACCAACAAAATGCATTCAAATACTTTCTTTAAAAAAAATCAGTCTTAAAGGCCTAACACAATAAAGGCAGGTATGCAAGTTTAACATAATTGGCTGATTTAATACAGCACTTATATCTTTTAGTCCATAAGTATATTATTAAATGATAGAGAACATCTAATACAACCATTTCTACAGAACTAGGAAAGAAAGATTTTACAGGCCCCATCTTTATACCCAACCCCAACAGTCTACTAATCTAGAGGATAAAGCCAATGACTTTCCTCACAAGAGCTTGTGGCTAAAGCCGCTTTGCTATCAAAATCTGTATTTCTGATCCGTTATGAGCATTGAGACAATATTCAAATATTCCCAAAGAAAGAAGCACAATGCACGTTGTGATCGCCTATTCAGCAACAGCGAGCACGGCGTTCAGGAGTCTCATCCCAGGAATTAAATAAGGTCAGCCACATTCATTGGCATTTCCTCCACTGTAGTATTGTAGAAAGTCTCAATGTCACGAAGAATCCTCTTGTCTTCTTCAGTAACAAAATTTATAGCCACACCTTTCCTCCCAAAGCGACCCCCTCTGCCAATTCTGTGGGAGAGAAGAAATGACAGTGATTAGAAAGGTACTTAAAGCCCTGCATGGACTACCGCACATGTTGATCCACTTGTTAACCATCAGCTGCTGTTTACTAATCAAGGTTACAGGTTTGTGGTTGTAATTGGAGCACTAGCTGCTATGTATCTAGAGAAAAGAGTCTCCTTTGCAAGTTAGTGCCAAAAGGATTCAAAGGCTGTCTGGCTGCAAAATAGGTTATCAGGTGCCTTGAGCATTGTTTTTTTTTACAAAGCAGGTGACACTAATGTGTTTGGGGTAGTGAAATTAAAGCCCATACCAAAGTGGGCCAGCCAGCCAAGAGCAGGTGTCAGCCTGGGACAGATGTGAACACCAGGGATGAAACAAAAAGAAGTTATGTAATCCATTTCGACGCAATTCTGGAACTGTAAATATAAATGCAGAAAGGTTAACTATTTCCTACAACAATTTTTCCCACTGGGAAAACACAAATTTGGTATGGTGACCCAAACTTATCACTGCTTTTTTTGCTCAGCAAATGTGTTACCTCGAAACACTCATCTACCTTTCTGCTAAACCAGACAATACAAAACCACCTACAGGAATATACAAAAATGCCAGACTAGAGCAACTTAAAATATTAAATAATCATGACAAAAGAAAAACAAATATAAATACCGACTCGCTCTTTATGCAAACAGTGTGCTGTTTCGCTTATGAATCCACGTCCTAAATTACGTCAACGTCGTTTCTGAGTGCCATCTCGTCATCAACTGCTGCTATCGACTCCTGTATTTTTTAAAAAGTTTTTTTACATCATATAACAAAGTACAATTCAATTTAGGGATAAAGCCACTATAAACCAGGGAACACACAAATTGCTACCAGACGACACCAAGAAAATCCCAACTATGGAAGACACGATCCAAAAAAAGCACATGGACACAAGAGCAACGTGAGACTCGGAACATAAACTTGGACCAACTTAAGTTAGAGCCTGATCGCCACAATTTGGGCCACAACTCTCTTCCCACTACAGACTGACCAATTTTTTCCCACTGCTGACTACCTAAACCTTCCCAAGTGAAACTTATCATTGTAACTTAAAAATTACATCATTGGTTTCAATTCCCTGATTTGATGTTACCTTTCAGGGAGAAAAACAGCAGTGTGTGAATTTATTTGACCAACATAATTCAATAGTCAAGATTCTATTTACTCACCTGTGAATATAATTTTCACGATTGGTAGGTAGGTCATAGTTTATAACCAAAGATACTTGTTGTACATCAATCCCACGAGCCTGAAATACAATGGTGTCTGTTCAAATTCTAATTCACACAATTGAGCAAGGTGTAATACAAACTGTAGGCCACAAAATAGTAGCGAACTATACTAAGTGGTATAGTCCACTGTGGAGTGTGGTCTCTTTATTCTCCCAAACAGCCCACACTGGTAAAGGTTATGAAAAAACCCTTGCCTCCAAAAATCAACTTTTGGTAGGGAAAATTAAAACACCAGAGATGGACTCACCAACAAGTCAGTAGTGATCAGAACACGACTTGAGCCTGATCGAAATTCCCTCATAATCACATCTCTCTCCTTCTGGTCCATATCACCATGCTACAAGATAAAATGAACAAACCTTAATTCAGGAATCAGTAGTCAAAAGCCAGTATTTGTTAACTGCATCAGTATGTATGAGACCAAGCGTCCCTGGGCTGCTACAAGAAACTAGCAGACAGGGATAGATAAGAAACAGCTTTACTTTGAGCAGGGGGAACGACAAAATAGCACTAAACAGCTATATTGTAGTCTAAATCCTGCTGTAATAAAAAACTTTCTGTTCTAAAGAGTTTCTTAGGTTAGAACTCTTACCAATGCAGACACTGTAAAGTCCCTCGCATGCATTTTCTCAGTGAGCCAATCCACCTTGCGCCTTGTATTGAGGAAAATAACAGCCTGTGTAATCGTCAGGGTCTCATACAAATCACAAAGCGTATCCAACTTCCATTCCTGCAAAAGTGAAAATGGTTTAGCTATTTTGTTTTCATCATTAAAAATGCTCCACTAGTCACTAATAGATTTATCGCACCAAATCTTAAGACGAAGGACATTGGACATTAAGAAAGAGGTCCGCCCCAGTCTTTCCAGACCGGGTGCAGTTTCAATTTCCTTCCTGTGTGTACTCTGCTAGCATTATTACAAAAACCAAGACAGTGCCCCAGTTTCTGTAATTTTAGCACAGTGCTTATACAAGAAGGAAAAAAATCTGGGTGCTTATGGTTATCAATTACCTCTCTTTCAACATTAATATAAAACTGTTTGATTCCTTCCAGGGTCAATTCTTCCTTCTTCACCAGAATTCGGATTGGATCCCTCATGAACTTCTTAGTTACTTCCAACACATCAGTAGGCATGGTGGCAGAAAGCAACACCACCTTTGAAAAAAGAATTACGTTGGCCAAGAAGTACACACAGCTTTCACAGATCTACTTTATATGAAATTCAACTAGAGCTACATACCAACTGCTTAAGGGGGGGAAGAAAGCACCACAATGATAGAGGTACACTTTAATCATGTAAACAGCACGAAACCAAGTCTACACGCAAGGAGCAAAATAAAATTCTCACCTGAATACTTGTATTTAATTTTTGAAAAATCTCATAGATTTGATCCTTAAAGCCTCGGCTCAACATTTCATCTGCTTCATCCAAAACAAACATTTTGATCCATTTTGGAGCTGTTGAAAAACACACAATTGTTTGTGGATGCAACCATACTTTCCTATTCTATTTACCAATAAGTGTTTCAAATTGTGTGCTTTAAGGAGTAATACTTACAAAGATATCGTCTGTTTAACATATCAAATACTCTCCCTGGAGTACCAACCACAATATGTGGTGCTTCAGCCTGCAGTTTTTGCATTTCATTTCGAACATTGGTTCCACCAATACATGCATGGCACGTTGCTCCCATATAATCTCCAAGTGCCAAGATAACCTTTTGGATCTAAAAGCCAGAAACCTTAATTACTATCCTACAGAACTCCGGGCATTAACAACTAACTTCCAAAACAATACCCTTATTGATCTGCAAACAGCTTTTATGCATGCACAGCACCTAACTACTTCCAAGCTTAAAATGCAGACTGAACACACTGTCATCTTTCCCATAAGGTCTTATTCTTGTACCTAGTCAAACTTGGGGTCTTGTCAGCTAATTGTACTAAAAATAACCCCTAAATTACTCTTCAGTGGGTATGTAGAAAATACAATAAATCAGCTCTGTAATTACATATAGGGAAATTGCGTCCATTAAAAAATTTCCCACAGTACACACTATCTTAGTCTTGACCTTAATAAAGCTTAGCGCTTTATTAGGAAGATTTACTTCAAAGCCAATATAACAGCTTTGAAAAACAGAGCATGCAACAGATGCATCACAAACTACTGAGACAGTCAAATGTTAACATGTCACTGCAGTTTTCATGTTGCACAACTGCATTGAACCTGAAGTGGTAGACACTAGCACAACCTGAGAAAGCTTTGGTTTCTCAATGTTGGAAAAACCTGCAAATAAAGCTAGCTGCACACCCAGTTCCTGCTCACCTACCCTGCATGCATAGGCAATGATTGAAAGGGCTCTGGCAGGACCAATTAACACTAACTTAAATCCTTTACAGTTGTGAAACCTGAAACCTATGCAACACGCAAGCAGTTTTTGAACTACACTATCAATACCTGTTGAGCCAGTTCTCTGGTGGGGGCCAATACTAGTGCTTGGGTCTCCTTGAACTCAATCTCCAACTGTTGCAGGATGGAAATAGCAAATGTGGCTGTCTTGCCAGTACCTGACTGAGCTTGAGCAATCACATCATACCCTAAAAAAAGTAGGATACATATTTACCGATCCCACAGCAAACCGTCACTTCTAGTTCACACACCATGTATTCCACTTGGAACATGAATCACGCCCAATCATTAAGTGATCAGCAATGAGTACTCTCTTCATTTCAGGTTCAGTCCCGAAAGATGATTGCCATCATTTCACTTTTAAGGAATACAAACAGGTGGCTAAGTCCCCCAGGTTATTTTCCCTGCTACCCTTGACATCTGCGCAGAACAAGAATTCCTTTTCAATTTTTAAATAGGCCACAGGGAATTGGGCTTTACCTTTAATGCAAGGAATTATAGCTCGCTGCTGAATAGCTGAAGGTTTCTCAAAACCATAAGCATAGATACCCCGAAGAAGAGACTCCTTTAAATTCATATCATCAAAGTTATCAACAATCTCATTCCAGTTGCTCTGTTAAAGAGTTTAAGAAAACCGGGGTAAATTGGAGCCACAATTGCATCTTCTCAAGAGTTTGCAAAGCCACCCGCCATCTCTTACCTCGATGACACCGTCGGGCTCCATTCCCTCGGGGCCGCCATGTTCTCTGCAGGCGAGACAAGCGCAGTTAGAGATCTCCCCTCCGCCAAGCCACGCTTCAGATGGAAGCCATGCTGCCCGCTCCCGCCCTCCACCAAGCCTTCGCCGGCAGCAAACGAGGGCGGCCGCCCGGCGCCCCCCGGCCGGGCCCGAGCGCAGACGCGGCGAGCGGGACGCCTCTCGCGAGAGCTGCAGGCCGAGCTCCGCCCCGCGCAATGCGCAAGCGGGTGATTGACGCGGCCGAGCGGCCCGGCCGGGCCAACGGTTCGCGGGTCCCCAGCTCCCCTGGTGGAGGCCGCCCGCTCCGGGCGCGGGGGCCGGAGGAGCCGCCGCCTGCCGCACACGCCCGCCCCAGCCCGGGGACCCAACTCGCGCCGCAGTGCGCCCCGGGTTCGGCTCCCGGCGCCGGAGGCGGGCTGCGCCACGGCTGTTTGTCCCGCTGCGCCCCGGGAGGAAGGCAGTTGGCATGTCAAAGCGAGCCCCGAGAGAGAGAGACCCGTTAGGCACCCTAGTTTCATGCCCCTCCTATCTCTTCTCCCCACAAGCTGGGGCCGTACACTACGGAAGTTTCTCAGCGCACACAGGGGTGCTGAACCCCCAAACCAACACGAGTCCCAAGTCTCTCGCCTCGTGCCACCTTCCTCTAACATCCTCTGGCGCTGCATGACGGCCACCACTTAAGGCCGCCCCGCGGGAGCGCCTTACCTGTTGTAATCCGCGGAGCCACCAGACATGTCCGAAAAGCCACTCCGAGCTCGGCTGAAAAGACAGCAGCGCCGCGCCACCCGTTTTTTATAGGCTCGCGGCCGGAACCTGTTTCCCGCGGAGGGATTTTCCCTCCCGCCTCGACCTGCCACACGATTTTTAGCCTGAGGTGGTGACCGCAAGCGCAACCTTGCGCACGTTGGTGGAGAACCCCAAGTTTGGTAGTCCCTCGATACTTCGGGGGTGCGGGAAATCCCAGGGCCGTGGGGGAAAGGTTGGGACTCTTTTGACAGGCGGCGGAAGAATATTGCAGCAAATGAAAGCCAAGATTCGAGGTCCGCGCCCGCCCGCCCCCTACGGGGTTTCCGCGTCCCTGACGCAGAGGCGGGGCTGGGGGCGGGGGCTGGGCGGGGTCCGGGGGGTCCGGGCCGGGGGCGCCGCGCACCGGGTGGTCCGGGCCCGCCAGCTGGCGAAGAGGGACAGCCACCTTCAGGTGCTGAAGGGGACTCGGTGTTTCCGCCTGACCCCGCCGCCATTTAATTTGACGCGGAAGAACCACCTGGTCTTCTGCCCGAGCGTTTCCCAGCCCTTCGGGTTATGCATTTGGGAAGCTCCCTTTTGGGGCAGAAAGCCAGCGCGTCTCGGAAAATCCTGTTTATCGGTGTATTTTACAGCACGAGGGGGGAAAACCGGTTATTTACAAGCGTCTGCAACAGCCAACGCTGTTCCCACGTTGCTTCTGCTTTCCTCTTGCTCTTTTAAAAATTGCTAACAAACCCACCCTAACCTAATAGGTTTGCTTGATAATTATGATTATTGTTAACTTTTGCACATGGCTAAAAGTTAAGCAAGAGTCATTGCCCTTGTAACGCCGGCATTTCACTAGATGTGCTCCACACGCTGTTTTGGAACTAGATGTGATTGGGTTTCCATCAATTTTGCTTTTTGTTTGTTTTCAGGAGCGTGAGTTCTAACTGCCTGCGCATAATATACTCTACTCATTACCATAGAAGCTATTCCCCACTCAGTGACCATAGTGTTTCCAAGGCTGTAATCCTTCCAGAGGCCGACTGATGGGGGAGGGGGGAAGGGTCACACCGCTGACCTTTAGGTTAGCTATCCATAGCTGGTGCTGTGCAGCTAACCAGAAAGTCTGAGGTTGGAATCCACTAGCTGGCCTCTTAAAGAAAACCCTAAGGGGTAGTGCTACTCTGCCCTATGATAAAGTCGCTGTAGTCAGTAATAGCTTTGGTTTAAGGTTTTCTTTTGGGGGAGTGTGAGGGGAAGAAGGGGCGGGTTCATGCAGACTACAACCTTCATTATTGAATTAGGGCCTGAACAACCTTTGCTTCTTAAATAAACTGCCGGATTCATTAAAGTCCAAAGGGTTTTCAACGGTAGCCCCAATCAGGACATCATTTTCTTAGTTCAGGAGCGCAACTTGGAAGTGTAATAACTGGAAAAATGTACCAGGTTTTTTATATTAATTATAGAAGATATTTGATTATAATACTTTTTAAAAGGAAAAAGAAATAGATCATTATTGTGGCAGAAACTGGGACAAAAATTAGTGCATTGCCCCTTAGCTCCCTTGCACTGTTCAAATCCAGATTTGAGATGATGGCAGACATTTCTGAACACGGGGTCACAGAATCTTATTTCCTCATGCCAAGACGAGTTTTCAAAAGGGGAGGGGCAGAACCTAAGAAACAGGAAGAAAAAAGTTAAGTCAGAAAAATGGCCAGCTATTTATGCTCATTCAAGTCTTCAGTGAAATCAATCAGCAATTAATACTTACTTGTTGAACATTTCCTTTCATGTTAGGACTTCTGCTAGAATTGGGAGGAGGGAGGAGTCAGCTTTGCAGGGGTCTCTTAAAAGGAAACGATCAAAGGCTTAACATGGTGCAGATGATCGCAGACTTGGTAACTACATAGCTAACAAATGGGCAGTTTGAGAACACCTAAAGTTTCTCACAGACCTGACCATCCGTCTCCTTCCAGGAGATCACAGCTTTGAGAACCCTTGAAGCACTTCGACTCTGCACACATGGGTTAGGCTCTAAAGTGGTGTCTGGGTGCAAATGCTTCGTGACTGGTACCTGGAAAGTTGGAGGTTCAAGTCC